AATACAGCTGTGTTATAGCTAGTTAAGACATCCCCTTGTTTCTGCTACCATCCCAACAGAGAGAGACTTGGCGCAAAGATGCAGCTGAAAGCTATTTACTAAATGCTTGTGAATCTGTGTTCATTAAAGTGCAGCACTAACATCTTTGGGAATTCAAAGCAAAATGCTTCCTTCCCTGCAGAGCTGAGCATCTCATTGTACCTCGGGAAAACATCAGTCATCCTTGATCTCTCCTAATCCTTTTGGAAATAAATTAATCATGAGACAAATTTAACATATTCAAATCAGGTTTCTTTGGTCTCTTCTCAGCCATTGTGCTACAGCCATTCAGACACCTGCCTTCAGCAAGGCTTATTTAAGCCTCTTTGGCTTAATGTTCCATCTCATTATATCATTGCACATGCATAGGTTTTCTTTGCTCACTTCTTTCGTGCTGTTTTTAAATTGGTTGCATTCCAGTGCAACCTGATCCAACAGCAGAATAGGAAGGAGTAGCAATGTTCTACAGGTTACCACTCCAGAGACCAAATGATGATGTATCCTTTCTAAGGCTTGGACCAAGACTGTGAAATTATGACTGGCTTTCTTGCATATGTACTGGCCTCTGGCTGCTTTACCACTTCATCCAGGAATAGCACATATCCTTCCTGAGCCTGACAGAGAGTGTTGGTGCCTGAAAGCTTGCTAAGAATAATTTTTCCAACTATTTGAGTTGGTCTAATAAAAGATACCGGATTTACCCAGAGAACCTTGTCTTCGGTGAGGACAGCTGTAATCCTGCTCTTAGCCCTCCAGTCAATGCTTGCTTTTACTTGAGTATTCCCCAAAGAACTGGAGTTGAAGGAAACTGGCTTTGTCTAAAGTAACAGATAATGAACCAGAACTGTATGGAATGATGATATCTTTCTTAATATCAGGCTCCCCGATTACATTTCAGATAGGACAGAAATTACCCTTGGACAGCCCTTGTGCTGTTTGTTTTTATGTTCTTGTTCAGTGTTTGTATGTTTAAGTCCACAGATGCAACACACCTAGTGATGAGCTTGCTTACTTTTCAGGCATAGATACTTTGAAAACATGATGGGTGCTCAAAGTTGTTCCACTGCACCTGGTAGGAAGCATCTGTAGATCAGACTTAGAAGTAGGGCAGGCATTTTGTGAGTATTTACGGTAGATAAAAATACTGAGCTGACAACATTTGAGGATTGGAGTGCTCTCTGGGGACCTATAGACACGTTGAATATGCATTATGAACCTGAACCCAGGTATGATGACCTCATTATTTTCAGATGCTTCCCCACTCATCTGTCTGCTTGCATCCACCTACTGTCATGTGTTGCATATACACTTAGATTGTGAGCATCATGAAGCAGGGACTCTTGTTGTGTTCTGTGTTTGTAGCACCTAGCCCAATGGAGTCTTGGGTCCTGACTGCTATGGCTAGGCACTACTTCAAGATATATAACAAAGCATGGGAATGTGAGTTCATGACTTTTTAATTCAGGAGGAGCACAACTTAGTGAGGGGTTTACCTAAACAGTAGGTCCTGCAAGTGGATCCTGCAAAGTCATAAGTGCATTTCCTGCCTGTAAACTGCAGGCCGTGGAATACGTATCTGCTCCATATTCTCTTTATTAGTGTGATTATACAAATTTGGTTAAGTTCAGAATCTGAAGCAGGAAGATGGTCCTATAAAAGTGATCTTATGCAAGATGCATGTCAATAGGAAAATAGAAAACTGCCTCTGATTCTGTTCATGAGCCCATCAAAACCTTATAGACAAGCATAATGCAGCTGGCCTTTACTAACACCATCCTGTAGAGCAGAAAAATGCCTGTGGAAACAGCAGGCAGAATTTAAGCAAATGCGTGACAGGAGTAGACTTTGGGCAGCGTACTGAGATAAAAGAAAGCATGAAGGACTCCTTAACTGTAAAGAGTAATGCTGTTGGCTTTACAGTACATCTGGAAGACACTTTGAGGGTGAGAAGAACTGAGGAGGAGAAAATATTCAGAAATGGACCCTTTTTTTAAAAAAAACCCAACAAAACTTCTGTGTTTCTAGTAGGAACAATAAGGCTATAACTTTCTTTAAAAGGTTGTTCTGTTGCCCTTTGCTTAGGGATCTTTTTTCAGCAAGGGGTGGCTTTATAAATGAAGCAAAAGAAGGGGCAAAACAAAGCAGTTTCAGATATGTACAGACACAGGCTTTCCCCCCTTGTGTTAGAAATATTCTTGCCACAGTTTTACTTCCTTCCCAGTAGTTGTGTTCAGTTCCCCTGCCAAAAGCCATAGGCAGGACCAGATTGCTTGTCTGGGAATCTCCACTAGCACCTCCCAAGGTTTTGTATCTGAGGGTAGGGTGCTGCCCTCCCATCCCACAGGAGAAGCATTTTCTCCTAAAGCGAGGGGACGTTCTGGACTTTTTGCATGGAGGCACTGAGGATTCTGCCTTCCTCTGCAGCAGCAATCCTGTTCCCTACATGCCACAAAGATCTTTGGTTTAACCTGTGCGTTCCTAGACCACAGCCATCCTTGACTGCATCTCCCACCCCTGTGCAGTCAGCTCCAGGCAGATTTCTTGGGAGAGAAAGTGGGTGGGCTGGTAATGTATCAAATACACAAGCTGTTTTCCATGTGGAATAGGGAGAAGTTGGGCTCTGTTCTCCATGTGTAGAAGTTGGGGTCTGGTTCTTCCAAGAAACATGGATATTCCAAGCAAAACTTGTTTTCTGGTAACAGTGCGTCTTGATACTGGGTGTTAACACTGAACATTTACAGGGACCTTCTCAGCCTCTGGAGAGAGGGAGGTACCATCTTAATTTTGGTAAACATGCCTCTGCGGCATGGTCAGGTGAAGTGAGTTGGCCAACATATTGCAGCCAGTGGGTGGCAGAGCTGGGTCTTAGCTTTCTTGGCCCCAGTCCACTTGGTGGTTACCTCTGGCCATACAGCATGCAAAATAGAGAAAAAAGGACCAGAGTCAAGATGCTCCCAACTCTTACTGCCAAGGGAGAGCTCTTCCTAATGAATGGAAGTGATCTCTTAAGGGCTATTAGTAGACTGTGATGGGTCATTGGTTTCCCAGTCACTTACTTCCCTATTGAATGGTGTCTGTAAGATGCTCTGTTTAGGGAGTGATTGTGTGGTTAAATTACTCCACTCCTGGAGACTTGTTCCACTAACTTTGTTTCATTTTCCTCTTGATTTGCAGATGTGCCGCAGGGTTTACAAAGGGATCCCCCTCCAGGTGCGAGGCCAGGTCTGGTCGCTCCTGCTGGACATTGAGAATGTGAAGCAGGCAAATGAAGGGAAGTATGAGGTATGATGGCAATAAATGAAGATAGGGTTAGGGTTAATCAAGGGGCCTCTCAAGTTGCACGCTCCCTGAGCAGGATGCACTATACTGGAGACGGAGAAGCTCAGGGTCTGTGCAATGGCGACATGTAGGGAGTGCGCAGGGGTGCACACGCAGCCCCTGAGAGTGCTGGTGAACCCCCTGACCAGTTGCACTCCCCGCTTAGGTGATGGGCAAGGGGGGAAGGTGGGAGTGCTGGTGCCTCCCCACGAGCGCCGGCCAGGGCGTGGGAGTGCTGGATGTAGCGCCGCCACGGCCACTTCCTGGTCAGTGAGTTTTGCCATGGGGGGGACCTCCACCAGTTGATGACTGGATGCTCAGAGGTCAAGTGCCCACCCCACCCCCCCAACTAAGGTGTCATCAGTTGCCCATGGGTCTGTGTCTGGAGTCTTCTGAAGTCGGAGTGTGCAGAAGGCCGATGGTTTATGTATGTGGTCTCTTGGAGTAGGGGACAGCAGCCTGTGCCCTGCCCCATAGTGCAGTAATTACCATACTGTGGTCTGTAGATTGCATCTGTCCCTCCCCCATCCCTACAAATTAAAAGTTTGACCTGAAGGGTGCAAGGGGAGGGGTATATGATGAATTTGAGGGTTGACATTGGCCTATGGGCTTAAAAAGCCTGGAAACCTCTGGTGTAACAAATACTGTCCAGCAAGTGTTCACACCTCGTGCTGTATCCCACTATTGAGTTGCTGCTTGTTGCTCTCTCTTCTCTTTCCCTTACTACCACAGATCTGGGAGATGGGTTTTTATCCCATTTGCAGCTGAGAATGTTGTGAAGGAAAGCTTTAAAGTGACAACAAGGACTGAAAATAAAATGGTTAAACTTTTCTTACCTGTTGCCCCACCACTCCCAGTAAGGTCCTGCATGCTGATTTCTCTGACGTGATTACAAGGTGGCTACCAGGCAGAAGTTTTACAAGTCACTGCATCTCCAGATAAAAGCTTAATAATTTCAACTTTCAAGAAGTTTAAAATGTGAATAGTAATTTTGGGTGCCCAACTTGAGATGCCTTGAAAGTGGAGGTGCTCAGTATTTTCTGATCCCTTTGTAAAGTGAGTCAGCTCCCTAAAAACCAAGATGCCTGAAATTTTTCAGTGCTTTTGAACATTTTGGGTGGTGTTCTTTTCTTTTTTTAAGTGCATGGTGAGTAGTAAGGATGAATTTTTAAACTGACACTGAGAGGGTGTTTTTTAGCAGTCTGATCTATTTCAAGCCAGAAGAAAATCATGCTCTTAAAAATATGCATGACAGTTGGTGAATTTAGGGGGTCTAGTTTGCAAAACACATAAGCAAGTTTCAGCAAAATAGGGCATGTGCTCACAACATCCTAACAGCTCAGATTGCAGTGGCTCTTATTATTTTCAACTCTTCAGCCCTTTTATAGAAACTTCCTCTTGAAGCATTCTATTAAAAATCCTTCAATTTACAGGAAATCCTGTGCAAATAGGAAAAGCCTTGTTTCTGTTCCTTCCCATTAAATCACTTTACAAAGCTGACTCTCTTGAGGATTTTTTGCTGTGAAATAAACAACATCCACACACACAGTTTGAATGAGTAATGAAATGAGAAATCATCATAGTCTGATTGTAGTAGAAATGTTTTTGCTGTAAGCCTGTTGACTATTCTGCAGAATCTTTTTTTAATGTGCATTTCACTGATTTGCTAGACCACTAACCCCTCTTTATTTATTTATTGTCCAAATCAGGGGCGGGCAGTTATTTTGGGCGGAGGGCCATTTACTGAGTTTTGGCAAGCCATCGAGGGCCGCATGATAGGCATCCAGGGGCAGATAAATATTAATTTTCTAAATATTAATATTAATTTTCTAAATTTTTTTAGGGGCCCTGGGGGCCGGATAAAATGGCCTGGCAGGCCACATCCAGCCCCTGGGCCACATTTTGCCCACCCCTGGTCTATATAACCAGAGCCCTGGTCATAGAGCTGGAAGGACCTCATTGTGTGAAGTGGTATACAAACACAGGGCAAAATAGTCCTTGTCCCAAAGAGGTGACATTTTGAAGTATGCAACAAGACCATAGATGGAGAAAGATGGACAACTTATTTATCCACCATCACAGGACTCTTATCTCACTGGGTGAAACAAAGGTTTTTTAGTAATATTTTTTGTTGGACCAGCTCTGTAGTTGAGAGTAAAAAAAAAAAAAAGCAAAAAAAGCTCTTGCTTCCAGGCCTGTCATCTGCCATGAGCCTAGATATAACCAGGTTGCAGGTGATAGCACTGCTACAGAGCAGCTGAACCTGCCAGCCAACAAGAGTGATATGGGGATCATTTGGCCTTGTCTCTCTGAACCTAATAGAAACTGAGAGTGCGGTAGGGGCAGCAAACTTTAACTTTGGGGAGGGTAAAGCACCTCCCAGTGATCTTCCCCCATCTGGCTACTGCTGGCGGGACTGCTGTTCAGTGTACCGGGTTCTTTGTTATTTATTCCTTGGCAATCAAAACAACAGAGTAAAGCCTGCACAGCACCGCCCAGCAGTGTTAATGTGATAGAGGCCACGAATTAAGTGTCACATCCAGTAGGCTCAAGTGTGTCTGATCTCTCTCTTCCTCTTAAGCAGGATAATGTTAATGCTCATTACTGTTAGTCAAGCAGAGATATTAATAGCAAAATCCTGCTGGCATCTCATCATGCAAGGCTCTCAGGAATGTGGGACCAAGATTGTTCTAGTGGGTAGGGATAATTAAGTTTCTCTAGTGTTGTAATTTGGCATCTTGTCACTCATATCACAGAGGGTGCAGGATTATCCAGGCTGGCCATGCTGCATGGCCAGGGGAAGAATCTGAATAAATGCAAGTCACAAGGAGGTTGTCTAACTGCCTAAACAGAGTGTGGGCGGTTAGTTCTCATTTCAGTTTTGCTCACAAGAGGACTAGAGGCCAGGTTTCAGGATAGATTCTTGTTAGGACCTGCTTTCCCTGTATTCCTCCACCAAGGCAGATTAGTGCTCATGTTTCTCTGTGGGTACATCCAGTATCCCTTCACAACTTTTTGCCCTCATGCATTGCTACTGCCACATCCCACAGGTGGGCCTTGAGGCCATGTCTTGTGACCCCATGACTTGGGGCTTAATGCAGCTGGTAATAGAAATAAGAGGACTGGAAGAGGCATCTGGGCCAGCATGCAAAGTCCCCTGTGTTGATGGGCACTTGACTCAAAGAATCTCCCAATTTTATCTTTTCAAGCCCTTACCCATAACTACAAGGAAGAATATCCCAAATGCCAAGAATGCCCTGTTACATGCCCCAGGTTGAAGCAAGTGGTTTTAGATTTGGATGCAGTGCCCCTGAAGCTGTTATGTCCCTGGAGATATTCATATCACAAGTGTTTGGGTTCAGCTGCTAATAAAGAAGTGAGAGGATGGGAAGAACATGAGTTGGAAGACCTGATCTCCTAGGTGACTTTTGCCATGGAACCTCAGTCCCCAGCAGGATGCTTTTGCAAGGTCAGAGAGGGCAGGAAGAAAAGGAGTTGGCCATAGGGAAGAAATTTAGACATATGTTAAGTTTTACCAGTTGTTTAATAAAAACACTATGGGACGGGACTGGTCACAGTAACTTTAGAGTCAGCACTTCCAGCTAGTGACTGCCATTCCTATATCCATTTAGGTGCCCTGCAGGGCTAAACAACAGAGTGCAACTAAGCAGAGGGAACCAGTTTCAAAAGCCCATCACTTGCGTGAACAAGTAAATGCTCATCTTGGTGTGTGTGATCTGCAAAGCTAATAAGCCCTTATGGTGAAAGCAATAGCTCACAGCCTTACAGCTTTGCGATGTGCCTGCCATTCACACCCCAAGGTGGTATGGCCTACAGGCAGTTTGAATTGGCTTTGCAGCCCTCTTAAGCAGTGGCTTCCTACTACAGAAAGGAGTATCTGTTACTAATGCTCTAAGCCTGTCTCCCCTATGGCAATGTGGCGTCCCACTGCCTGGCTCCAGCATGGCCTCTGTTCATCTCCTGTTCGGCTGTGTATGTCCTGCCCTGCAAATGGATCTCTGCCCAATTGAAAATTTAGTTGCAGAACATATTTTATTCATGGAATAGCCCCGGGGGCTCAAAAGAAAGGTAATTATGTAGTCATCAGTGGTACTTAAGGGATACACATGAGATTGGATACTGAAAGACGGCAAAGTGATTCTTGCTTGCCATGCACAGGGTTACACTGGGTGCCACGTCTGGGGGTAAGGCAGGGGTGGGCAAAATAAGGCCAGCAAGCCAGATCGAGACCATTGCTGGATTCAGTCTGGCCCCATGGGTGGACGGATGCTAACTCACTGGATCTGGTGCATGGGCAGCCCTGGCCACTGCGTGATGCTGGGCAGCTGGGTAAGTGGGACTGCTTTGGCCCAGCATCATCAGCTGTGGACCCAGGTGGTGCCTCCAGTCCACACTGTGAGTGGGTGGTGGTGTCAGCTGTCACTGTGGGCAGGTTCAGGAGCCTGGATGCAGAACCTGCCCATAGCGTCTGCAGTTGATCTGCCACCTTCCTGGTGTAATGGAAGCTGCCACCACAGCCCTGACCTGGAACCTGCCAGTGGCGTCAGTTGCGGGCACAGGCAGGAACTGCTGCTGTGCTGGGTGGGCGCCAGTGTCACTCGGTCTCTTCTTGACTCTCTGTCTTGCTCCCCCTTCCACCCTCCCTCCAGAGCCTGGCTGAAGCTGACACTGCCACGTGCCCAGCATGGCAGCAGCTCCTGCCTGGGTCCACAGCTGAGCTTCAGGGTTCCTGGGGGCTTCTGGAGGGAGGGAAGAAAGGCGGGGGAGAGAGAGAGACACAGACAGAGAGAGATGCATGCACACACAGAGAAAGAGACAGAAGGTGCGTCTACATGAGACGCTGAATGTGCAGTATACCAGTTCGACTGTGCATTAGCATGTCATGGCAAACTGTGCTTACGCTCAGTAGTGCCAGTTACTATGCATTGATTTAGTACCTGGTAATAAAGGTATTAAACTTAATGCACAGTAACTATGGCACATTAATAAATGTGTAGACACGCCCAGAGAGAGGGAAGAGAGACAATGAGAGATGGACACAGAAATGCATATGACCCTTGATAGGTCCCCAAAACTCATTAAGTGGCCCTCCAGCCAAAATAATTGTCCACTCCTGGGCTAGGAGAATATTCTTCCATGAGGCAGAATAAGAATTTGGGGCTTTCACAGTGTGAGCCAGGGTTGGGTGGACATTGTATCAGTTGTCTGAATTACTTTGATTGCAGTAAGGCCCCCCCCTTTCCATTGGTGAGTATCATCCTTTGGTGTTTCAGTGCCTGTGTGGTAGAGAATTGGCCAGTGGCTATTTCTATGCATTTTACTTTGCTTCTTAGCTCTTTTAGTTTACTTAGCTGTGCTCTAGTCCTTGTGTATATCACAAAGCTGGTCTTTATGATTCAGTATTATCTTTACTTGAAAAAAGCCCCAGGATGGGTTGATAAGCTTAAGATGTCTTTGTTTCTCTAGGGAGATGGTGTATTGAAATTAGAGAGCAATTCATAGAGCAGCCTGAACCATAAAAACTTGCCCTGCACAGCATTTAGCCTATGAATACTTTAGGGGAATCTCTTCTGTTAGCTTGAGAGCTGTGCGTATTAATAATAAATGTGTTTTTGTTTAAGCAGCCACAGCAACATTAATGTTTACTAGATACAGAATATAGCATAGCCCCTTCCTTGAAGAGGTTAGGGTCTGAATTTACAAACAACGCAGATCAAAATAGAAATAGTTCATTCCAAAATCTATTGAAGTGGTCCCAGGAGGTCAGAGATCTGGCATTTGTGTGGAGCTTTTCTGTGGGGGAATAATGTTGTAGACTTCAGTGCTGTGAGCATGCCAGCTTCGCCTTTTCTCATGGGTAATTCCATAACAAGGAAGCCTTCAAAGGGGTGTTGTGCACCAGCCCACCATTGCCTGTGCAATACAGTGGTGTCTTGGTGGTGGGATTTATTTAATGGAAGTACCCCTGAATAGAACATTAGACATACTCATCTGTGCAGAGGAACCCAGGCAGGGACATTTTCTAGATCAGTCAAACTCAGCAGGTTCCATGGGGCAGGTTGGGGTCTACATGAGCCCCACATGCTGGATCCAGTGCACGGGAGTAGTCTGCTGCAGGCACTGCATGCTGCATGTACCCAAACCTGGCCCTGGCCCCATATGCAGCTTGTGCCCTGTACTGGCGCCATGCTCTGTGTGCAGTGCATACCTCAGGCCACCCTGGCGCTGTGTGCAGCACATGGGCCTGGGGCCGGCGCCAGTATTGACCATGTGCAGTCTAGTCCAAGCCCCATGGCCAGCAAGCACCATGGGCTAGATGTTTGGGCTCTGTGGGCCAGATATTTGATACCCCTGTCTTAAATGTTTATGGCATACCCCCAGTGCACAGACAGACACATTTTCTCTTCATACCTGGTATTCTCATCTGACAGCCTCCATAGGGTTAAGTAGCTTCGTATTCAGTGCTTCTAAGGTTGAACTTACGCAGTAGAGGATGTTTCTAGTCAACATCTACTGGACAGTCTGGCTTGTATTTCCACTCCTGCACTTGTGTTGTAGTAACAGTTGGTAATGGAGGGGACCAGGCCTTGTTTAGTATCTCAGCTTCTCAAACTTCACTGTGCGCAAAATGAATGACCCTGCATCCTGCCTGAATGCAGTATCATTGGGGAAGACATGAGGAAGCACAGAGACATACCACAGGGTGTTTTTCCCCCTAATAATTCATAGCCAGGCTATAGCTTTGTTTTCACTCTAAGAATCATGGTCTAATAATAAAAGTTATCAGATTTACCCAAAGAACCTTGTCTTCCTATGTCCTTAGACCAAAATGGCTACAACCTACACCCCTGTAAAATCTGTCCTGTATTCTGTCTTTGCTCTGTAATCTGGCAGATTGTTTCTTATTGTCCTCTTCCATGGAGGGCTTTACATTCAGAGATTATATTTGAGGATGTTTAATAGTTTCCTTTTCTCTGCCTTCGCTTCTCTCCAGAAAATGAAAGAACAAGCCAAGAGCTTCTCATCAGAAATCAAGCAGATAGATCTGGATGTCAACCGCACCTTTCGAAATCACATCATGTTCCGGGATCGCTATGGAGTCAAGTGAGTATGGGTCGCCTGGCTCCTAGCTGGTTTCTTTGCCTGGTCATTGCTCTGGTCTGATCCCTGACGTGACCACCCCAAAAAGGTACCAGCTTGACAGCCTGCAGAGCCGATATTCAGGCTTCAGAACAAAGACTGCAACTGGAGCATCATCAGCGCCTCCTACACTTGCCAATCTGCCAGTACGCCTCAGTGACTTGTAGCTGTGAGAAGACACCTTTGTCTCCATGCCCAGCCAGTGTCTGTGCTTGTACCTCTGCTGGCATAGGCTTGTTTTGTTGGTTTGTTTTGGTGTGGACTCCTCTCTGCTAAGAACTGGTCTGAAATCGCCAGCTTTGTGTCAAGTATCTTTTGGTTAATTCCAGGCTAGGTTGCATCCAGCCATGGTTCCTGAAACACGTGTGTCCTTACCAGACCTATGAGACATGTCTTTTGCTGAGGATCGCAGCTGGTTTGATTCCTCACAGGAATCTCTTGGGGTGGGCCTGTAGCATTGAGGGATGTATGATGCAGTCA